GGCTCTTCTGCCTGGTTCTCCCTTCTGGTGGCTTCCCCCGCAAGGGCCCAACCCTATGACTCTTCCTCCCCGACTCCTAGATTTGAGAGAAGAGTTTGGCTGGATCTGTTCCCCGCTGCCCTCAGCCTTCCTTCCCTGGTGTTGGCTAGAGCTTAGGTGTAAGATCAAAGTTGGAATGAAGGGCTCCGGACTTGGAGTCCCAGTGCCGTCCTCACAGACAGGGTGCTCTTGGGCTTCTGCTGTTTCCTTCTCTAAAAACTGGGTCAGGGCAGTGGCCCCAGGCCCCAGTGAGCCGCTGTGTGGGGCAAACACACGGTGAACAGTCAAGTGGATAGAAATGGTGGTGGCGACAACACACCTACCAGCCAAGGCCTCTGCCGGCCCCACCCGGGAAGGGGCCTGGGAAGAGAGAGAGCAGGAAGGGGCGGAGGACAGGGTCTGCCATGACTCCAGCTTCCTGTCTGACTCACGTGCTGGGGGTGAAGTGGGGGCAGCTTGGAGCCCATTGTCGGCTTGTGGTGTCCCCTCTGGGTCGAGCTAATGGGCAGGGGGTCCTGGGGAAGAGGGGCGGTTACGTGTTCCCATGGCTGGTGGTGGGAAGTGTACAACATGACTGTGAAATGGGGTGGTATAAGAGAGAGCTGCTTTCTGCAGGGCAGTGTGTGTGTGTGTGTGTGTGAGAGAGAGAGAGAGAGAGACACAGAGGGAGAGAGAGAGGGAGAAAGAGAGACCCGAGGGGGCACAGCAGTAATGCATTGAGTGTCTGTGCTGACTGGTGTGTACAAGTCCTATAGGTGTGTGCCTCTGGGTTTTGTGGGTCTCCCTGTGGGGGTTGTGTGTGTGGGTAGGTATGGGTGGGTAGGAGGGAGCCTGGTGTGCTTTTAAGGGCACAGTGGATATGCTTGCAAATGTGTCTCAGTGGGGGGTGGGGGGCCATTATACCCATGGGAGGGCGTCCAAAGCCTGTGTGCATAAAGAAGGGTGTCCATGCACACCCTGTGTATGCGGGGTGTAGTGTGTTTGTGTGTGTGTTTCTGTGGGGTATGTGGACATAGGGAGAAGGAGTGTGCCTGTGGGGGGAGAGTGTGGGATGCCAGGATGTGTGTGTAGTGAGGTGGGTTGGGTGTGTGTTTACATGTGTACCCATGCAAGGGTGTATTTCTCTGGGGCGCAGCAAAATGCGTGAGCTTTGGTCTGGAAGGAAAGCCTGTGCAGGCGGGTACGGAGAGTTTTCCTGCGAGTGGGGTGTGTGCGTGAGTGTGTGTGTGCATGCACGCGCGCCTGCACGGGGTGTGCAGTGTGTGACTGCGGGGGTACTGCGCAGGGCCTCTCCTGTGTGGGTGTGTGTGTGGGATGGGGCGGCCGCGGACAGGGGCCGCCCCGGAGGGGGAGGCGTCTGCCCTGCGCGACTCGCCGGTGTGTCCGGGCTCAGGCGCCCTCGGCGGAGAGGCGTGGGAGGTGCGGAGCCGCTACAGCCGTCCTGCCTCCGTCCGCGCGGGCCGTCCGTCCCCTCGGGGCCCCAGGGCCTCGGGCCCGCGGCTCCGGGGGGCGGGCGGGGTCTGCCTCTGGCTGCCCTGCCTCAGCCACAGCGACCGCCGCGCGCCGGGGGCGCGTCCGGCCAGGGTGAGCGCCGCGGGGGCCAGCGGGGCCGGGGGCTGAAGCAGGGCAGGGTGGATGGGACCGGGTCACCAACAAATCCCTGCGACCCTTGAGCTGTGTGCGCCGCCCAGTCTTCCGGGACCTATGCCCCGGAGTGGGGAGGGAGTGAGGAGCTGGAGAAATGCAGGTGAGGGCGGCAGAGTGGTGGCTGAGACCTTTTCTGGGGGTGCTGGATGACAACCCCCAGTCTGGTGGTGGCCTGCAGTGGGCTCAAGCCTCTTGGTTTACAGGTGGCAGAAAGATGGAAGGGACCGGGGTTGTTTGAAGAGATGCCAGGGTATGGAATCCTGGAGAGTTTGGGCTGACTGTGATCCTGAGTCAGAACTCTGCCCTCTCCCCGGTAGGGGACCTGGGCACAGAGACACACAGGGTTTTCAAACAGGCCAAGGAGGTAATGAGTGACCTCAGGGTGAGGACTGATATGGCTGGGGGGGGGGGGGGGGGGGACAGTGTTTCGAGGTCCGAGATGGACCAGGCTGGCAGGGTGTGAGTCACAGTGGGTTGCCTGGCGATCCTCGGGGGGGTGGGGGGGTGGGGACAGTGTTTCGAGGTCCGAGATGGACCAGGCTGGCAGGGTGTGAGTCACAGTGGGCGCCATGCCCAGCGTGAATGCTGTGCTCCCTGCAGTGACCTCTTTATGCTCCTGGGGGAGGGGAGGAGCCGGACTCCTGGGTTCTAGCTCCTGGTGTTGCCAGCCCATCACATGTCCAGGTCTGTCTAATTTGCGGCCCTGGGGCCACCTGCCCTTCTCCCACCATCAGTGGGAATTTCTGGATGTCTCTCCTGACCTCAGGGTGGGAGCGTTTGGAAGTGGATCTGGGCTAGGGGGCATTACTTGGTGATGTCTCTGTGTCCCCCGAGCCTCCCTCTCTCCTTCCCCTTGTCTCTGTACCTACCTCAGATAGCACAGCTGGGGATGTGTGTGTGAGCTGTGCCTCTTCACAGTCTAATCACATTCCACTGCTGATCCCTTCTCTGCTTCTTCATCTGTCACCTCCCTCCCCCTCGAGATGAGAGCAAGACCCAGCGCTGTCCCAGATGGGAGGAGAGCAGAGGAAACATGCATGTGTAATAGCATGAAGGATTGAGGTTAAACCTAAGAAAGAACTTCCCACAGGAGGGCCGCCAAATCTGGTCACTGATGGGGGCTGCAGTGTCTTCTCTTCAGGCAGGGCTGTGGTTACTGTGGCAAGGGGATTACCACACTGACATTCTCAGGCGCCTAGTTGGCAGGGATGGGGGAAGGGGCCTTGGAAGGAAGGAAAAGAGGAAAGGGAGAGGCAGAGATAAGGGAGGGAGCGCCAGTGGTGCCTGGGTGAGGAGAGGACCCGAGAGAGAAAGGCATGCCCACTGCCCTTGATGACAGGCCCCTCCTCCCCGGGGAGTGGCACCCCCAGGCAGCTGGCAGCTCCAGGCAGGATGTGTGCTGGGGGAGGGGCGGGGGGCGTGCAGGGACCTGTCCCAGCCACTTCTCATCACTGGGGCAGCTGGTGGCTTAAACCTTAATCCAGGACACCAGCGAAACAATAGGCCCTGCACACAGCCTGAGCTCAGAGCCCGGGTGGAGGACGTGCAGCAGACGCACTCCACACTGGGCAGTAGCAGGGTTTTGGTAGGAGGGGGCAGGGGAGGGTCCCCAGAGGCCCTCTTCTCTTCCTCATCTGTTCCTTGCCAGATCAGCAGAGATAGGAAATCCAGGGGATTTCAGATCTCAGCAGAATTCCCAGAGAATTTTCTCTTCTGGGCTCCTCAGACCCCTGTGGGGGTGTGGGGCTCAGTGGGAGTGTCCAGGCTATAGCCACAAGTGGCAGGAGCTGAGGGGGCATCATTGGACCTTCCGCCTGATGCCAGAAAACCAGCTGAGGCATCATAGAGCCTCCCTGATGGGGGTCATCCAGCTTTCACTTGGGCCCTTGTGAGGACAGAGAGCTCACAGCCCCATCTGGGTCACTTTCCAGATGTATATGATTAGAATGATCTCCCTGGCTAGGAGCTTCGCTCGGCCTTCTCAAATCTTCCTCCTGGCTGTGTCTTCTGGAACTGTATGAAGCAAGCCTGTTACTTCTGTGGCACTTTAATCTTCTGAGATTTGAGGATATCCCCTCCCCAAACCTCCTGCCCCATGGAGCCCAGCCCCCACCCCATGCAGCTTAGGGCTGGGCACAGGATCCACTCCTGCCAGATGTGTAAATTGGAGGGTGGCTGGATGCAGGCAGGGACTTCTTTGTATGAGTACATTAGAGTTGCAGTTTCTAGGTGGGGAGTGAGGGGGATTTCTTAATGAAGTGGGAGCTCCTCACCCCCGAATCTTCTTCCCTCTGCACCCAGCTGCACCTTTCTTCCTGCAGCTGAAGGCTCCTCCTGCCTGGTGCCAAGGAAGAGCGAGGAGATGAGGACTGTTGAGGGAGGGGAGGGGCTTCTTGCCCTCCGAGGGGTTTGGATTAGGGGCACCAGGTAGGTTAGGCTGCCCGAGATCAGGGGTTAGTGAACCGCCCTCCTGTCACCCATTTTCCCTGTGTCTGAGTAGGGCACCTGAAGGGAGCCTCCTCTTGGGCACTAACCTCCTTCTCTCCCTCTTGTCCCAGAAACAGACCCATGTGCCCCCAAACCTTTGTCTTCAGACACCCTCTGCCCTGCCATCTTGGGGAATCCCAAGTACTCAGGTGGGGTGGCCAAAGGGTAGTGGAGTGTCTCCTCAGCCCAGTTCTGCACTCATTTCTGGTGAGCCAGCCAGACACATGGGCTCGGTCCGTCCAGCGGATTGTCTGCTGTCCAGTCCACTCACCTGCGACTCATGGTCCCTCCCGTCTTCTTGCTGCTGCTCTTGAAGGATGCATGTGTGTCAGTCTGTCTGTGCCTGTGTGTGTTGTGTGTGCATGTCTGTGTCTCGGTGAGCATGTGTGTGCTCATCGGTATGTCTGTGCACCTTTGCACACGAGTGTTCTTTTCTGGGTGTTTGTGGTGTGTCCTGTCTACGTGAGTGCGTGTGGGTGTGTCTGTGCCCGTGTCCGCGTGCACGCGTGCGTGTGTGAGATTGTGCAGCGGGGCACTTCCCAGGCAGGAAGGCTGTGTGTCTAGAGTCAGTGAACTTTGGCTGAACTGAACAGAACGGACACCTGACTTGCTGCACTATTTCCCTGGACGCATAGGTGTCTTGAGGGGACTGAGGGAAAAAAGAAAAGGCAGCTGTTGGGTTGATGAGTGTGGGAGAGAAAGGGAGAGGGGAGCAGGGGTCTGGGCACAGCTGGGTCGGTGGGCCCTGGCCGTGCCCCCAGGTCCTCCAGGCTGCAGGAGGCTGTGTGAGGACTGGCATCTCACCCTTGCTCGCTCTGCTCCCACAGCTGCCCCTGGGCCCAAGAGATGGGTGCTCTCCCGCTCGCCCCCTCCCTTGGCAGGGCCCACGGACACTGCTCCTGCACAAAAGCCTCCAGGATGGCTTCGGCTTCACCCTGCGCCACTTCATCGTGTACCCGCCCGAGTCCGCCGTGCACTGCAGCCTGAAGGTAGGCCCGCACCCCGGGGCTGCTCTGAGGGAGCTTTCAGTTTTCACTCCTTTGTGCTCTCCTCCGGGTGCTTCTGTGCCTGGGAAAGAGGACCACCGAGAGGCAGGGGCAGCGCTGGCTGGGTCATCTGTGGGCTATGACAAGCCCCCTATCCGCTCTGGGCTCAGTCTTCTAAGGAGAACGGGGTGGTTGGCTTGGGGCAAGGAGCTAGAGGTGGGGGAGTCAGGATGCTCCCCCAACCCCGGGACTCTTGCCCTCTGAAAGGTGAACAACTTCTCAGGAGATGGGCTTCCAAGGACCCTTTGTCTACTGGCCACTTCTGAGCTGGGTTAGTTGACCCTCCCCAGCCTGAGCTTTGGAGCAGTTGTCCTCACACACCTCTGGGACCCCTCCCAGAGCGCCCCAGGCCCTTACTGGCCTCAGCTCTGGGCCTAGAAAGAGCCTTGCGCTGGGCTGGAGACCTGGGCCCCAGTGCTGGTACAACTCCTAACTGACGGTGGGTCTCGGGGAGTCTCACCCTCTCTGGGCCCCATGCCTGCTGCTGTCACCTGAGGGTATTTATCTATTTGACCCCTAGGAACCCTTCCAGCCCTAATATAAATACCAGGTTCTCTGAGTCCAGGAACGGGGGTTACTCAAACTGAGCCACTGTATGGGCTGGGGGTGGGGGGTGTGGTCCCTGACAGGAAGGCTTGAGGGGTGCCTAGACAGCAACCAGGACTCCCCAGGAGGGCCCAGTTCCCTTCCCCTCCTCTCTGCCAGCAGGAGGGGAGAAAGGTTTATTTTGGGGCCCATGAACCTGTTTCTCCCCTCCCCCAAGGCTGGGACCAGCCTGCACAGCTGTTGAGGGACAGGGAGCTTAGTCCCACCTGCCAGAGAACCAAGGCATTGGATTTCTCTGCCTGGGTCCGTGTGCCTGCTCATGTTTCTTTGTATGCACACATGCGTGCATGGTATGCTAGTCATGTACATGCATGTGTGTATATCTAGACATGTGTCTATATATACGCTTCATGTGTACATGTTGCTGCATAACTCTCACACCCGTGTCTGAGTCTGGGTGTGAGCCAAATCTTCTCATTGGCTGTAAGAGGGCTGATGGTGTGTGGTAGGGGCACCGCCTCACCCGTTATGCCTGAGGACACCAGCCTCCCGGTTCCCTGGAACCTCGGGTCCTTCCTTCCCCAGAAAGTTCCCCCTTCCTGGACCTTCCTCCATCTCTCAGGGGACCTCCGGAGGGTGGCCCTGCAGATGCAGTTTGAGTGGTCTAGGCTGGGTGGTCAGCCTGTGTCTCAGAGAGACCTCGCTCACGTGGAAGACCCCAGGGCAGGGCAAGCCAGGGATGGGCTCTGTCCCTTTCCAGAACATGCCCAGGGCTGGGAGCCTGCAGGGCGCTCACCCGTCTAGATGCATCCATCTGCCGCTGCCTCCCGCTCACGGTGCTGTCAGCTCATATCAGCGGGCACGCGCCGGGCTCAGGAAGGCGGGCGCCAAGGGACTGCTTTCCAGCAGAGCCCCGCGGCTTCCTGTCCTGGCTGAGGTGCCCCAGACTCCTGGGGTCCGGCACTGGCTGCTCTGTTGTCTCTGAGTGGCCCTGGACAAATCACACCCTGTTGTCTGTAACGTGGATGATCTGTGGAGTGGATTAGACAAGATGACCCCAAAGGTCCCATCCAGCTGGAAAATGCTGCACCCCACTGGCCTGGACTGTCTTTCTGACTTCTTGCCTTTTCCCTGATTTCTCCCCAAATGCAGTGCCCTTCCCCCCTCACTCACGAGGATAAGCCCAGAGACCTCCCTCGTGGGTCTTTTTGAGGTCATTTCTTAGCCCTACACCTAGATACTGGAAACATTTTCCTATCTACTCTCTCCCACTCAAGAGCTTCGCTGGCTCCCTCATTCTTTCCTTTCGGACCTGAAAGCTTGAGTCTGACTCTTGCCACTTGCTGGTGTTGACTCTCTTTCTGCTTCAGCTCAGCTGACCCAGTCCTGTTTCTGCCACCGAGTGCCTGCATACTCTGCTCACCGCACCCCAATGCCTCCTTTCAGCCGGCCTGAAACTTGCCTTAAACCGCCCCCTCCCAGAGGGACTAATCAGGCCTCCCCTGCCCATTCTTTGAGAGCTGATAGCCACTATTTGCACTTGTCATACCTGCTTATCTGTGTCCGCCTGGGTCCTGTTTGTGTGTCAGTGGGTTTGGCCCCTCCTCCACTGGGCTTCGAGCTCTCCAAGGGAAGGGGTCCTGAGTCCCCCATTGGGTTGGGGGCTTTCAGATGGCTGAGATGCTGAGCAGGCATGAGAGAGGGCTTCTGTGACTGTGGGACATTGCCTGGGACGTGACCTCCCTGTGGACACTCTTCCCTCCCCCTCTTTCTTCTGGGCTAGTTAAAGGATGATAAGAGGGGAGGCTGATGGGTGGGGGAGCTTGAAGGGGCCCACCCCAGCGAAGCTGGGCCTCCCCCTGTGCTGCTGAGGGCCCACACCCCCCTCTGTCCCCTGCAGGAAGAAGAGGATGGAGGCCGAGGAGGAGGTAAGGAGCAGGCTGGGCTGGGCTGGGCTGGGGTCCCGCTCTGTGTCTGGCCCTCTCCTGCAGATCGGTGTGGATTCTGCTGCACCCTCGCCCTTGACTGCGGCCCCTGTCTGCTCTTTCCTGTGTACTCACTTGCACATATGCTTACTCTCTGCTCCTCTTTTCTCCACATTTGTCTTCCTTGGACCTGTCCATTTCACACTGGGGGTGCTGTTCTGGGGAGCAGATGGGTTTCTAAGCCCTGGCCCCTGCCCTAGAGTTACTCCCAGCCTAGATGGAGGCTCAGGCGGGACGTGCAGGGCCCTGGGGCTGGGAAGGCTGATTGAGGGCTGTCCTTGGGGGCAGAGACGCTAGGGTTCTCGGGGTATAAGGGCGGCCCTGAGGTCCTTCTGTTTCCAGATGTGAGACTAACTCCCCTGGCTGTCACCCTGGCTCTCCCAGATGGCTCCGCAGGGTATTCAAGGCAGAACTCCTTGAACAGGCAGGCTTCCCTCTCTGCCGCTGAGGCTTCTACTGGGCGCGCATGGGGACTCTGTCTTTCTGCATCCCCACTGCAGAGGCCTGTGATGGGGGAGGAGCCGGCCGACCTAGCGCAGGCCTGTTTCTCTGATGGAGACGGCACTTAGCAGCAGAGGAGTACTGCTGGGCTGTAGCGTGATGTCACGGAGGAGCGAGTGCCGGCCCTGGGATCGCAGGACTCTGCAGCCCTGACCCCGGGGACGGGAGTGGGGGGGGAGGTCAGGGTGTCTGTGAGCCTCGGGGCGTTGCTCAGCGCTCCCTGGGGCTGGATGTGGACACTCTCTGAGCGTGCAGGTGTCTCTCCCTACTGGATTATTATGGCACCCCTCTTTTGTCTTGTGATGTTTCTGTGTGTGTGTGTGTGTGTGTGTGCGCGCGCGCACATGCCTGTCTGTCTGCCCCACTAGACAATGAGCTCGGGAAGGGCAGCGGCCACGTCTGTCCTTGCTCTGAGGTCTACTTTCTAGCATGGTGCTAGGACACAGGAGCCATTTAAGGAGCAACTCTATGTGTCCATGTAGCTTTTCATCCTCCCAGCAATGTGTTTTGTCTGATCCTGTGGATGTGTGGCTCTGTTTTGTGTCCGTGTGAGTGTGCTCATTCTCTGAGTGTGTGTCACCCGTGTGTGTAGCTGTGCATGGGTGGGACCTTCAGTAGCCACCCCCAGCTAACCTGACTGATGCTCAGCAGGACCCTCCCCCCGGCACCGCCTGGAGCCCATGGACACCATCTTTGTCAAGCATGTGAAGGGTGATGGCCCAGCCCATAGGGCGGGCCTTCGCACAGGTGAGCTGTCCCAGTTACCTGGCTCATTGCACCTCTCTGGAATTTCTCCTCCCGCCCCTGGTTAGGATGGATCCAGCCATCCTGGCATCCAGCCATTGGGGAGGTTCCTGCCCCACATTGTCATCCATATGTGATGCAGGGGGTCTCAGGTGGGGCTACTGACACCCTTTGACCTGCTCACCTGTGGCCCTGCCCCTGGTCCCCAGGAGACCGGCTGGTGAAGGTGAATGGGGAAAGCGTCATTGGGAAGACCTACTCCCAGGTCATAGCTCTGATCCAGAATAGGTGAGCGCCCCTGTCTCCCTTCTCCCATCAGAGCCCCTAGCCCACTCCCCAAGTCCCTCCACACCCTCCCCCTTGGCCCTGGTGGTGCCCTGGCGACCAGGATCCCTGTTCTCCCAGACCCTGTTGCCTCAGCCTGGCCTGACCCCCTGCCCTGTCTCCGTAGCGATGACACTCTGGAACTCTCCATCATGCCCAAGGACGAGGACATCCTCCAGCTGGTGAGTCCTCCCCGCTGTCTGAGGTGGAGGACCCTGGGTGCGGGGCGGGATACAGCCCTTCTCCTCGGCCTCTCTCCCACGTCGTTGGCCCCTCTAGGAGGCAGAGAGAGTGTGGGGGCACCACCAGCCCGGCGATGCGCCACTGGGGATGCCAGGCCCGTCCCTGGGCTGGGGCTGCTGGCTGCTTCATTCAGGGCTGTGCTGTGTTGGGAGAGGAGGGCACTGGCTTTGACTGGCAGGATTCCTGCCAGGGTATCTGGGAGGAAGGTGGCCCAGCAGGCCCTGCCTGACTGGCATGTTCCTGTGGCTCCTGTAAGATGTCTGTTCCCCACCCCCTCCCGCCTGGCCTCGTGTGAGCACGTCTCCTGTAGATACACACACACACACACACACACACGCACACACACAATACTGTTGTGTGCTCCCATTCACACGGCATACCACAGACCACCCCATACTCAAGCAGACACACTCGGTACACAGCCACGCCACACAGCCCGCAGCCCACCCTCCATCTAGCCTGTCCTATGTGATAAGGCACCCCAGACACAACGCACCACACACACAAACCCTCAGTATGCAGGCACCCACTGCCCCACACTCACGACCACAGGCATCACAGCATACCACACAGTTCCTCAGCATCTCGGATCCCCACCACACACCACCAGGGTGTCACAGCACACGCTTGGCTTCTCACCACCGCAGCATGAATATTTAGGGCATCACGGATGCTTGCTGCTGTCACGACACATGTGGCCACAGACATCCCAGCCTGCTCCATCCCAGCACCAGCGTGTGCGCTCAGCAGGGCAACAACCACGTGAACTTCCACAACCATGATACGCAGTGCAGACGCCCCTTCCTTCACCCCACTGCTCACAGAGCAGGCACCACAGACGGGGCACGCAATGTACCCTGGACTCACGTGTGTACCCGTTTATACCACACACTCCATGCATGACATGTGCACACACACAAACACACACGCTGCCTCTCTGTTCCCTCCCAGCTCTGACCCAGAGCCCAGAGCAGTCCTCTCTGCCCAGTGCCCAGTTCCCTGGTCTCATGGGTGCCAGCCAGAAGCCAGCTTGCTTGCCCCCAAGGTCACTGCCCCCCAGGAGAGGGCTGCGGGCCAAGCCTGGAGGCCTTGGGAGCCGCCGTGCCGGCTTCTGCCCTGGATGTGCGCTCATAATCACTGTAATCTCAGTGCCATGCTTGGCACCATGCCCCTCTGGGAACCTCCACCCCATGACCTCGATTGTCCCCTCGCCCTTCCTGGGGAGGGGGAGGCAGGGATGGATGGGGGCCCAGAGAGGTAGGTAGACGGCTCTTCCCAAGTCTCAGAGGCGCTGCCCCTGCCCCTTTTCCAGGCAGAGGGAGGCATGCTGTGGTGGTGGGGGACTGTGTGTGACCAGGCGGCACCTAGGGTGTTGCTCTCCCCTCTGGGCAGGGTGTGGCAACAGCTTTGAGCTCTGCTGCCCCAGCTCTGGTGGGCAAGCAGCCCCAGCTGTCAGCATCTGGGGGCCTCCGTCGGCCCCCCCTCTCCCTGGCTAGCCAGAGGGTGGGGCCCAGGCATTCCTGTGGTTGGGAGCCAAGGCTGGAGGCCAATGGGGCCGCGGCAGCTGCTGACGCCACCGCCGACGCGGCGAGGCCCCTCCACACCCATCCTCCCCTCCCTCCTCCTCCCGCCTGCGAGAGAGAGTCGGTGGGGGCCGAGGGCAGCCGCCGGGAGAGCAGGCTGGGGGGCCCCCCGAGGCCAGGGCCGGCACAGTGGTCAGTGGGGGCTAGTGGGGGCGGGGAGGGTGGAGGCGGGCTGGGATGCCGCCGCAGCCGCTGTGATGCGGGCAGTCCGGGGAGCCGGCAGGATGGCAGGAGGGAGAGGTACGTGAGTGTCCTGGCTGTGTGTGGGTCTTCAGGGGGCTGAGTACGGGGTGCGGTTTACTCACCCTCGGCACGTGATGTGTGTGCCCGGGACTGGAGCTGTAGTTATTTGTGTGTGTGTGTGTGTGTCTCATTGTGCTTCTCTGTGTGTGTGTGAGTGTCTCTGGGCGTGTGTTTTCCTGTGTCTCCTTGTGATATGTGTGTGTGTGTGTGTGTGTGTGTATGTGTTTGGTCTCACCCTCCCTCTCTGGTACTTCACCCGGAGTCGGGCCCCTGGGTGGCCCCTCGGGGGCCAGGCAAGGCCGGGGCCACAAGGCCGCTGTCCCTGGGGGCTGCCTCCTTTCCTGGCCGGGCCTGGGCGCTGGCCCTGCCACTCCTCAGCAGTGCAGCGTCAGCCTCAGCTCCCAGCGCCAAATTCCAGGCCCGGGGTGGTAGAAGGTGGCGCAAGGTCCCTCAACCAGTCTGGCCTCTCCCTCAAGCCTGGTCCAGAGAAGCAGGGGGTGAGCAAGTCCCTCCCTCGCCCCCCAGTGGCCCAGGAGCCAGGCCCTCAGCTTCCTGTCCAGGGGGATGGAGGGACAGCTGGGCTCTCCCAGCCCCCGCCCACCCCACCCTGGACACACCCCTTAGGCGGCTCCCTCCCCTGTCATCTGCCTCTTTGACTGGTCTCTGGTGGGGCTGCCCAGCTCCGCCCGAGGGTCTGTGGGCATCGTGGGACACAAGGAAGCCGGGAGGCGGCTGAGGCCAGCACGACGGGAGGACCCCAGAAAACAGATGTTGGAATGTTTGTGGCTAAAGGCAGTCCTTGTCATAAGCCTTAGAAAAATCCTGGCTCTTTTTCGAGTGAATGTGTGTGTGTGTGTGTGTGTGTGTGTGTGTGCGTGTGTAAGACTCAAAGGCCTCTTATTTCTTTGTCCTCCCCTTGACTGTCTTTGGATCATGCCTTCTCACCCCCGCCCTCTCAGGGCCGCCCCCCACAGCTTGGTCCCCTTCCTTCAGGCCCCTTTATGGGGGGCCTTGATTTCCAGGGGCTGCCGTAACCGTGCCCTGTGGGGCCTGTTCAGCCCTGCTCACCTGCTTCTGTGTCCCCGGGCAGGCCTACTCCCAGGACGCCTACCTGAAGGGGAACGAGCCGTATTCTGGAGAGGCCCGGAGCATCCCCGAGCCGCCCCCGATCTGCTACCCCCGAAAGACCTACGCCCCGCCAGCCCGGGTCTCCACCTGGGCCACTATGGTTCCTGAGCCGCTCTCAGCACTGCCCGGTGACCCCCGGAGTCCTGCTGCCTGGAGTGACCCGGGGCCCCGCATCCCATCTACTGCCCGCTCCCATCCGGACCACCCTTCCTTGGGGATGAGCCAGCCCCGCCCCAGCCCTGGTGCCTTCCCCCGCCTCCCCCCAGAGCCCCGGACGCCTCGTGCCTTCCCGGAGCCTGGCAGCCGGGCGCCCCCCAGCAGACTGGAGTGCCAGCAGGCCTTGTCACACTGGTTGTCGAACCAGGTACCCCGCAGGGCGGGGGAGAGACGGTGCCCCGCCATGCCCCCCCGGGCCCGCAGTGCCTCCCAGGACCGACTAGAGGAGGTGACTGCCCATCGCCCTTGGCCCTGCTCCACCTCCCAGGGTGCCTTGAGCCAGCTGGGCCAGGAGGGCTGGCACCGAGCGCGCTCAGACGACTACCTGAGCCGGGCCACCCGCTCTGCCGAGGCGCTGGGGCCAGGAGCGCTGGTGTCACCCCGCTTTGAGCGCTGCGGCTGGGCTTCCCAGCGTTCCTCTGCCCGCACCCCTGCCTGCGCACCCAGGGACCTGCCCGGGCCCCAGGCACCAGCTCCGCCTGGCCTGCAGGGCCTGGATGACCTCGGGTACATCGGGTACCGGAGCTACAGCCCATCATTCCAGCGCCGGACTGGCCTCCTGCAGGCGCTCTCCTTCCGGGACTCCCCCTTTGGGGGGCTACCCACCTTCAACTTGGCCCAGTCCCCCGCACCGTTCCCACCAGAGGCCTCTGAACCACCAAGAGTTGTCCGACCAGAACCCAGCACCCGGGCCCCGGAGCCTCCCGCCGAGGATCGCCGTGATGAAGTGATCCTGAGGCAGAAGCCCCCCACGGGCCGCAAGGTCCAGCTGCCCCCCGCAAGACAGATGAACATTGGGTTTGGTGATGAGTCCCCAGAGCCAGAGGCCAGTGGGCGAGGGGAACGCCCGGCCAGGAAGGTGGCCCCTTTGGCCACTACTGAAGACTCTCTGGCTTCCATTCCCTTCATCGGTGAGTGATGGTGCAGGTGGCTTGTCTTGGGAGATTGCTTTTCTTTTTTTTTTTTTTGAGAGATTGCTTTTCTGTGCCCCTGTTGTACTCCACCTACCTGCCATCCGGGCAAAATTCTGGGGTCGGTGCTAATGGGATCAACTCATTTCTGTGGCCATCCATCTGTCTGTCCATCCATCTATCCATTCGTCCATCCATCTCTCTCCCATCATCCTGTCATCCTCCCTCCATTCGTTGACACGTCCAGTCTTCTTTCCCATCCACCTTTACTTCCCCTCTCCCTCTTTCCCTTCCTTCCTTCTTTCTTTCCCTCCCTCTTTCTCCTCCCTCCTTTGTTCTGTTCTTCCATTCTTCTTTCTTTTCACCCTTCCTTCCATTCTTTTTCTATCTTTCCTTTGTTCCTTTCACCCTTTGTTCTTTCCATCCATCCTCCATCCTTCCACGCATCTAGCACATTATTGTGTCAGGCACTATGGTAGGCTCTGAGTTCTCCTGGAGTGCATGGTCCATGGGAATATGTGATCAGACAAGAATGATCCAGTTGAACGGGTGTGTGATAGGAGTACAGGGAACGCTGAGAGACAGAGGCGGGCTGGGCTAGGGCACAGTGGCCAAGGAGAGAAAGCAGCTTTTGGCTAAGACGAACAAGTTAGTCAGGGGAAGGAAGTTCAGGGAGAGAGACGAGAATATGTAAAGACCCCGGAGTGTGAGTTAGGATGTCCTTCCAGGTCACCGCATGGGTCGGGAGGGGCCTCGTTAGTTGATGAGGAGTTCGGACTTCACTCTGAGAGCAGAGGGAATACTGCAAACTCGTTAGGAATAGATGCATAAAGGAGAGACGGGACAGTGGAAGGGTTGGTGATTCCCAGGTTTCTGGCCTTGCTGGAGGGTAGAGCCTCACCTCCGTATCAGGAAAGAAAAGGAGCGAAATGGGAAAAGGTTTCGGGTTTGCCAAATAAGAGGTGCACATGTGGGAGCAGGATGAGCTGGGCTGGGTCTGGGGGCTTGGGAAAACTGGGCTGCAAGTTCATGGAACTGGAGCCCAGAGGTGGTAACCGGACCTGAGGGTGGTGAGCTCATCCAAGGGCAGCCATGGGAGCGACCCCGGGGAGAGCTCTGGGCCAGGAGAGGAGGCATGACCTGCCCCCCGCACCCCAGCCCCCGAGTCTGCTGAGCCAGCCTTGTCTAACAGGGCAGACGCAGCCCGTCGTCTCAGTAAGCTCCCAATCTGAGGGTAGGTGGTACGTCCAGTCTGAGGGGGAGACGTGGCACCCACTTCAAGGAGCCCCCAGTTGATGGGGGAGATAGATGGTCCTTATCCTCAAGAAGCTCCCAGTCTGATGGGGGAGACACACTCCATGGCCTCGGAGAGCTGCCAGTCTGGTGGGGCAGACACAGCTCCTGCCTCTAGGAGCCAGGTCTAAAGGGGTGACTTGCCCCCCGTCCTGAGTGCCCTCCGTGTGATGGAGGAGGCACAAGCTGAGCGTGCGTGACCACAGTGGTGGGTGAGTTCCCTTGGCAGTGGGCGTGTTGCCAGGAGGGCCCTGGAGGGCTTTTGGAGTCTGGGGATATGGTCCCAGCCTGGATGTGAGGCTGGGGCCCAGGGTGGCAGGTAGGTTCAGGCTTCTGGGGCCTTCACCCACCGCCCCCTCCGCTCTCGCAGACGAGCCCACCAGCCCCAGCATTGACCTCCAAGCCAAGCACGTCCCTGCTTCTGCTGTGGTCTCCAGCGCCATGAACTCCGCCCCTGTCCTGGGCACCAGCCCATCCTCCCCAACCTTCACCTTTGCCCTGGGCCGCCATTACTCCCAGGACTGCAGTGAGTGCTTCCCGCAACCCCCGCCCCAGCCGCTCCCCTGCCGCCTGGTCCCACTGGTGCCTGTTGGGCCTGCTGCCTGATGGCTGGCCTCCCCCGACTGGCTTCTGCTCCTCCTGGGGTACCCTGGGGACCAGGCCCCCGGGCCCTGCCGGATGGGAGGGCTCCAGGGAAACCCCTCCGCTGCCCCACTGATCCAGGGCCCCTCTGGGCGGCTTTGCAGGCAGCATCAAGGCCGGCCGCCGTTCTTCCTACTTGTTGGCCATTACCACCGAGCGCTCCAAGTCCTGCGACGACGGGCTCAACACCTTTCGGGATGAGGGCCGGGCTCTGCGGTGAGGACCGGGTGTGGCAGGGCTCTTGGCCCTGGGGTCTTCTATACACGGGGGGCAGCGGGCTTCCCCCTGCAGGACCTCTGAGCCTTGGGACTTGTGGGAGGTCCAAGTGGTGCCTCTCATACGCCTCATCCTTGATCCTCAACCCCTAGGCGCCTGCCGAACCGCGTGCCCAGCCTGCGGATGCTTCGAAGCTTCTTCACTGATGGGGTGAGTGGCACGTGTGTGCTGGTGAGGGTGTCGGAGGGCTTGGGTGTCCCACACTTCATCTCTGGAGCCTGGCCTTGGCAGCAGGGCCTGGCCTGGGACTCCTGCGATCCCAAATGGGTCACCCGGGGTCCTGTCTCCTTCCTTCCTTGGCTCTCTGCACACTCACTTTGTGCCAGCCACGAGACCCACCCTCTCTGGGGGCTCTGTCATCCCCTAAAGACACTGTGAGCACCCCCTCCCAAGGCCTTTGCACTGTCCTGCCAACCCCCCACCTCTCGTCTGGAAGGTCCTGTCCATGCTCAGCACCATAGCTGCAGGACTCACTTTTTCACTTTCTCTAGATTTACTTTTTCCCTCTAGATTTTTGTTAGGCCTTCCGTCAGATTTCAGCCTAGCCCTGACTTTCATGCCTCCCTCCATCACTGTGCTTTCCTCTGAGCACTTCTCCTGTTAAGCACTTTATGCACTCATCTCCTTTCTTGCCTGTCTCCCCAGCTAGAATGTAAGCTCCATGAGGGCAGGGGTTTCATTTGTCTTATTCACTGTTTGACCCTACTGGGTATCTCACACAGTGCCCATAGTGGGAGGCACTGGATCAGTATTTGTGTGGTGTCTTCAGGGGACAGCGAACACCCTGGAAAGGGGGGCAAGAACATGGGATTGAGAGTGATGGAGAGGCCAAAGTTTCCAGCCTCAGGACCTTGGGAGACACAGGGTCAGTTCTGAAGTGGTCTTTTTTTTTTTTTTTTAGTATTTTATTTGTCTTAAAATTTTTTATTATTTTTGGCAGCTCTGGGTCTTTTGTTGCTGTGTGAAGGCTTTCTCTAGTTGTGGTGGGCAGGGGTTTCTCTTCATTGTGGTGTGCAAGCTTCTCATTGCAGTGGCTTCTGTTGTTGTGGAGCTTGGGCTGTAGGGAACTCGGGCTTCAGTAGTTGTGGCACATGGGCTTAATTGCCCCTTGGCACGTGGAATCTTCCTGGACCAGGGATTGAACCCATGTCCCCTGCATTGGCAGGCAGATTCTTTTTTTTTAAATTTTTAATTTAATTTACAACATTGTGTTGGTTTCTGCCATATAACAATACAAATCAGTTGTAACTATATATATGTACATATATTCCCTCCCTCCTGAGCCTCTCTCCCACCCACCACCCCCATCCCACCCCTCTAGGTTGTCATAGCACCGGGCTGGGCTCCCTGTGTTATACAGGGCAGGCAGATTCTTAACCACTGGACCACTAAGGAAGTCCAGGCTTAAATCTTTTTTATTATAGATGGTCTGGAAAAGGCATCTTGATTTCTGTTTTCTTCTTCTTGGCCACACCCTGTGGCTTAGTAGGATCTTAGTTGAACCTGCACACTCAGCAATGAAAGCGAGTAGTCCTAACCACTGAATCACTAGGGAATTCCTGGCGTCTTGATTTCATTAACACCTTGATGATTCTGTCACCTGGCTTCCTCCTTATCACTTCCTCTGCTTACTTAACCCTCCCTTAACCTGTCACTGCTATTGCTGGAGTCCTGCTGACACTGTCACTTCCTCTGTTAACTCCTTGTGGGCATGACCACCTGCCCCACTAACTCAGTCTTTGTTGATGTTCCTACTTCCCCTGTTTATGTAACTCCATGTGGACACAATCACTTCCCTTGTTTCCTTAATTCCTTCAAGTCTATAAAGTTAAATGTGCTGAGGCAGGTGGCCTGCAGGTCACATAGCCTTTCCTCCTTTCTGGCTTCTCCATCACATATGTCTCATGACATCAACACAGATGGATCAGAGAGGGCAAGCAAGGCCTCTGAGGCCACACAGCACAGAGGAGTGTAGTATGCACCAGGCCCGTGGGGCTGCAAGTGGCCATGGGATTTCTGAGATGCTGGTAGTATGGGAGCCACCCTAAATTGCTCTCTGTTGTCTCTCTTTAGTCCTTGGATAGCTGGGGCACTTCTGAAGATGCTGACGCTCCTTCCAAGCGACACTCAACCTCTGACCTCTCGGATGCGACCTTTAGTGACATCAGGAGAGAAGGCTGGTTGTATTATAAGCAGGTCCTCACCAAGAAAGGGAAGGTAAGATGGCTGGAGGAATGAGCTGGAGGTGAATGGAAGCTGGCTCCAGCAGAACTCTCCAGTTTTTCCTACACCCACCCCACTGCCTCTGGAGCTAAAGAGAGCCAGCTAAGACTGCCGCATGAGTAGAGGTTAGATGCCAGGAAGAACTTCCCAGGGATCCTAAAGAACTCATGAAAAAAAGTTAATCAGAGAGATGGTCTTTGCTGTGGGTGGATCTGATCAAGTTGTGCTTGGAATTCTGACCATACTATCCCATGGTTGATCCTTGGTTGGCAGATCACACCCGGAATGGCCACTGGGGCTCATGGAAAATGACAGAGCAAGGCCAGGGTGATTCTTTTAGGGGAGCTGAAGCCCCAGAAGAAAGCAGAGTCCAGCCTTTTCAAGGCCATCAGAGGTTTTAGTCTTTATCCTGAGAAGTGTTAGTTGCTCAGTTGTGTCTGACTCTTTGAGATCCCATGGACTGTAGCCTGCCAGGCTCCTTTATCCATGGGATTCTCCAGGCAAGAATGCTAGAATAGGTTGCCATTCCCTTCTCCAGGGGATCTTCCCTATCCAGGGATCAAACCCAGGTCTCCTGCATTGCAAGCTGGCTCTTTACCATCTGAGCCACCAGGGAAGTCTTTATACTAAGGGCTGTAGTTCATGGGGTCTCAAAGAATCAGACATGACTTAGCGACTGAACAACAAGTGGCAACCAAAAGCCCCTGGGGCCCCTTCCACTGGGCTTCTGGGGGGAGTGAATTAGACAGGGTCAAAGGGAGGCAAGAAGGCCAGGTAAGGGTGGCTATGGAGATTCAGGTGAGAGATGAAGGGGGCTTGGGCCTGGGTGGGGGAACAAGCAGGACCCCAAGGGGCGAAGGCGGGGCCCCTGGATCTATGGAGTATGAACCCTGGCTCCAGGCAGCACCATGGGCCGCAGAAGCAGGAGGAGGAGGAACCACCCCACTGCTGTGCCCCCCAGCAGCACAGGCAGAGCCCAGCAGAGCGGTTAGTGTGAACCTGGGCTTGACTTTAACTGTGCTATGAGTTGCTGGTGAAGCTCAGGCTGCTTGCTGACCTATGACCCAGTTTCCTGTCTGTAAATGGAGCAAATGCTAATCCCCAGATCATGCATCTTTGCTGAGGATTAAATGAGATGATCTAAGCAAGAGTTTACCTGGGTGCCTGGCCCTTGGGTGCTGCTCTTCTGCGTATTGCTATTGTTTGAATTTTCTATCCTGCCTTCTAGGGTGTCTTGTACCTGGCGGGAACTTAAGCTTCAAAGTCAGACACACTTAGAATTCCTGCCCAGCCACTTATCGGGCACAAGGCAACTGGTAACCCCCTAAATGTCCGAGTCTCACTTTTCTGATCTGTGAGATGGGGACAATGTTATTCTACTCCAAGGGCCCATGTGAAAGTGAAGTGAGAGTGTAGCTGAGGCAGGGCCAGCATTCCTCTGCGCCCTTGTCCAGCCTGTTCATGATGCTGGGCAGCCTGCTCGGCTCCAGTTCTCTGCTGAGGTTCTACAGACGCAGGGGTGAAGGAGCCAGGCCAGTCCTGCCCTGCTGGGGTTCATGCTGGGTAGAGAGAGCACAGTGCTTGACTGCGGTGATGGGGGAGCTCAGGGGAGCAATGTGTCGTAACCTATGACCCTGATCTCAGCGGGATGGGAGGGGGTGTCTGGAAAGCTGTGAAGGGTGTCTGGGGATCCATGAAGCATGAAGGGTGTGATCTGACAGGGCAGATGCCCTCCTGGGCAGTCTAGGGGAAAGGTGGCAGGGAGTGCTGGGAGGCTGGGAGCCAGGATGAGAGTTGGAAGCCAGGTGTGGAGTTGAGTGCCCACTTGCTCGCAGGTCCATCCCTTGGGGTAAGGCTTTGCAGATGAGGGCGTGGGGTGGAGGTGTGAGCCCAGGAGGTAAGTGTTGCATCTGTGACAGGCGGAGACAAGGCCATTGCTGTTGTCCAGGTGAGCGAGGGGAGCGGGGTGGAGGAGAGGGGACAATTTAGAGAGATGTGAGGGGGAAGGAAAGCTGGGTGGGCTGCAGGCTGGGAGGTGAGGGAGGGTGGAGGAGGCAGTGTTGGTTCCTGGGGTCCCGGCACGGGCTGGAGGGTCAGTGACTGGTGGCGCCCTTCCCCCAGCCGGAGGGGCAGGTCTGGGGAGAGGAAGCCAAGAGGTTCTTTGGGGGCCTATGGTATCCGAGGGCCCTGGGCCATCCCCTGGTGGAGATGTCCTGGTGACAGAGGCTCAGAGGGTGTGGCATCAGGAGGGAGGTCCCCTGGAGAGGGTGCTTGTCCATCAGAGAGGATATGGGCATCTGCAGCCACAGGAGCAGGAACACTGAGGGAGAAAGCAAGAGATGGCTGGGCCTCGGGAGGAAGTGGAGGATGGAGACCAAGGAGGAGTAGGCAGGTGTGGACAAATGGTCCAGCTCAAGGCTTGAGGTGATAGCTGCTGACTCCTGCCTGCCAGTAGGCTGCCCCCCACTCTGGGAGGCCTCTGGCAGCCCAGCCGCAGGATCTCCTGGGCAAGGAAAGGACCTGGCCCCTCCCGGGCCCTTTGGTCTGTCCAGGATCCGGATTGCCAGCCAGATGTTATCTGCTCCAGCCAAGTCCAGCCTGCCCCCGGCCCCCAGCTCTTTCAGAGGCCACTGACTATCGGTCAGAGGATGGGATGGGTGGGTGTGACATATCCCTGCAGCCAGACCCATCATTGGAGCTGGATGTGACCTTGGAGACCAGCTGGGTCGCCTCTTATTTTTCCAATACGGCATACTGATGCTAGGGGCAGGGGGCCTGACTTGTCCAAGGTCACCTAGCTGGTTTAGTCCCAGTAGGGCTCCTTGTCACCATCTCACTCTGACACTAAACTTCTCTTGGAGGGCCCTGCTGTTTCCTGCTGTGAACATCCCTGCCTGGGTCCAGTAGGTATGGGATGATGGGCAGGGTTCATGGCCAGACATGGCTGTGTTCACCTGCTAGTCGTGAAGTCTCATCTGGTTTGTTCTGAGGACAGAGGCTCATGCTGGCTGAAGAGTCGTGGGTAGGCCGTGAGCCAGAGGAAAGGTGCCCTCGACCTAATGGGGGAGATGGAGCCCCAGACCGCAGGGTGTCGTTCCGAGAACGACTAATTCATTTATTCAGTAAATATCGATGAGCACTTCCCCTGTGCCAGCATGGCTCTAGGCTCTGGAGTGTGGAGGCAAGAGAGCAGATGAGCTCCCTGGCTCAGGAGCTTTTCTGAGCTTTCCCGATATGGAGAAAGCTGCCCATGGCCGGTAATCTGAGGCTGCAGTGGGCACTCAGAGAAAATGAACAGGGTGGTGTGATTGCCTTTAAGTGGGGAGGAAGGAGGAGCTGCCGTTAGGGGAGAAGTGCTTAGAGGTGGTTTTGCTAAGGAGGTGATGTTAACACTTGAGCTTAGACTGTAAGGGTAAGAAGGAGGCAACCACGTGAAGAAGAAAGACTAGGGGCTCTGGGCAGAAGGAGGAGCATGTGCAAAGATCCGGAGAAAGGAAAGGCTTGGCTTGTGCACTAGAAAAGGCCCCTGTGGCTCAGCGTCATGAGAAGAAAAGAGGGATGGGTTAGGAGAAACAGGGACCTGATCACAAAAGACCTTAGATTTGATTCCAGCGGTGATGGGAAGCCAGGAGAGGGCACCAAGCGGGGCAGCCAGGACCTCAGCTACGTTTTCAAATGATGGCTGCAGCTGCTGCTTGCAGAGTGGGTTGCAGGAGGGAGAGTGGAGACTGGGAAGGTTTGTGCAGTGGTCCAGGCAAGAGGTGTTAATGTGGTGGCAGGAAAGATGGACAGAGGTGATATTTTGGAAGCAGAACAGTTGTGATTTCCTGATGGGTTGGAGTCAAGGTTGAGGAACAAGGAGGAATTAAGAGAAATTCCCAGGTTTCTGGACAGACAACTGGGTGGATTTACTGAGCTGGAAAAGATGGATGCAAGAGGAACCGTAAAAAGCAAGTGCCCCGTAGTGAGCAAGCAGCATCTGCAGCGCCTGTGGGACATGCAAGTGGACATACTGAGCCGACAGTGGGATGTACGGAGCGTGGCTCTGGGGAGATGCTGGGCCAGGGCTACGTCTGGACATCAGCATCAGCAGACAGACAAGATTTTTAAAAACAAGCGTGGATGGTGTCATGGGGGAGCTGTGCAGGGGGTGGGGGCCCAGGACAAAGTTCTGGAGCTCCACCTCCTTTTAGGGCAGGGACTCTCAGCTCAGCATTGTTGACATTTTGGGCCAGATGACTTTTTGCTGTGGGGCTGGCCTGGCATCAGCATGTTTAGCAGCATCCTCGGCCTGACTCTGCCCATTAGGTGCCATAGCACTTCCCCAGGTGTGACAACTGAATATGTCTCCAGACAAACATCTCCTGGTTGAGAACTGCTGGTGTAGAGGATGTTGGTTGGTGAGGGGCCGGGTGGAGGAGTAGAAAAGGAGTCAGTGAAATTAGGAGGAAAACCAGAAACCATAGGATCCTGGATGCCAAGAGAGAGTTTGGGGAGGGAAGGAGTGACTGCTGGCTGGGTCCTCCACCACCAAGAGGCCAAGCAAAGGGCTGAGAAGGGCCTGGACACAGCCTCAAGCTTTGGCAACACCGGGCCCAGGTGGCCTGGTGGGCAGAAGTGGAGACGGAGCGGAGTCTTGAATGAGAGGCAGAGAAGCAGGGACAGCAAGCGTGGTTGACAGCTTCTGACTAGCTTTGCCGGCCAAGGGGAGCAGAATGTGGACCCGGAATGGCTTTAGGAGCATTGTATGGAAGGTGGTCCTGCTTGGTGGGGGGCCTGATTGCCCTCTGGAGCCCCCTGCCGGTTCTCTGGGGGCAATGCCGATGCCGCAGGAGCCTGGATGCTAGCGCTTGAAGAGGTTGGGGACCCTCTGGGGGCTCTGAGAGGGGTGTCCAGGCCGCTGCGGGGGACTGCGGGCAGGAGGCCGCCGCAGGTGCCGGCGGGAGTGGCGCAGAGCAGGGGCTCCCGGAGGGCAGTGGGGTGGAGGGCCCACCGCTGTCCACTGCAGCTCCTAGGGCCCCCTCGGGCTCCGGGGGCGGGGAGGGCAGGCGCAGCCTCTCACCCCGGCTCATCGGCTCCTGCCTGGTGGACATCTCCTACAGCGAGACCAAGAGGAGGCACGTGTTCCGGCTGACCACCGCTGACTTCTGTGAATATCTCTTTCAGGCTGAGGACCGGGATGACATGCTGGGCTGGATCAGAGCGATCCGAGAGAACAGCAGGGCCGAGGGCGAGGTGAGGGCCCGGCCCGGCCCCAGGCGGGCCAGGGAGGGCAGGGCAGGCCCCAGGCCCCTCTCACCGGCCGGGCTCCTCCCTTCGCCGCTCAGAGCCTCAGTACCCCCCTTGCATAAAATGGGCCAACAGGAGTATACCTGGCGACTCTGCCCGCCCAGGGTTTGGTGTGAAGAGACGATGCATGGGACAGTGGCTCACCGAGGGCCTGGCGTCCTTAGTGTTCCACGACTGGCAGTAACAATAATAGCTGTCAGAGTGACAGTAATTATTATTATTATCATCGTTGTTATGACTGCCTTGGGCAGGCTCTGGCGCAGAGGGGTCAGGTCCAGGCCAAACCTCAGCCTCTTGGTGGAGCTTTGGGAGGCAGGGAGTCTCCTGTGAAATGTATTACAGAAAGAGGTCCCCCTGGGCCAGAGCTGTGGGGGACCCCCCTGCCGGGGCTGGCCTTTCTGCATGGGGCAAAAACACATTGACCTTGGGAGGAGGCCAAGGGGATTGGCCTTTGGCAGCAGGCAGCAGGGGCTGAGCCAAGGGCTTTGGCAGGGAATCCAGGAGAAGTTTTAAATGGCGCCCCTCCACTATGCCGCTGCACGCCAGGGGCCGGTGCTGGAATATCTGCCTCTGCTGACTCCACCCGCTAGGTGGCTGCACAAAGGTGCCTCTGCACCCCTGTAGTTATGTGGGGGTCCTGGGCTGGGGGCTGGTCTCTGCCAAAAGGATGGTGGGCTTGGGCCCTGGTCCAGATGTTCATCTGCTCTGACCACAGGAGGGGGTCCTAGTGTCCACTGAGGACACACCATCTCACTGATCCAGGCTCTGCTGCCCCAGGACATTGTCTGTCCTCGCTGCAGGGAGAAAAGCACCTGAAATTTGGGGCCCTTCTCTGAGGGAACTGGCTGGGCTGTCCCCAACAGGGCATGAGCTGAGGGTCCCAAGTCACCTGCATTATTGCAACAGCTCCCCCTCTTGTGGCAGCTGGGCTGTGCCTTGCCAGAACTGTGATGAATGCCACATGCATAATTCTGTACACCAACCCTGAGGTTGCCATATTATCTCTCCAAGGAGGAGACTGAGGCTCAGAGAGGTTAAGTGGATTACCCAAAGTCACACGGCTGGTGACGGGGTGCTCGGGAGTCCGGCCCTGGCCTTTCTTGCTCCGGGGTCTGTCCCCTCCAGCTGGCAGATGGAGGACAGGGGAGGCGAAGCTGAGGCAGGGGACAGGGAGAAGTCCTGGTGGGTTGGCCATGGGCACTGATGGGGTCTGCTTTTTCTTCCCCTTCTCCAGGACCCCGGCTGTGCCAACCAAGCTCTGATCAGCAAGAAGCTTAATGATTATCGCAAAGTGAGGTAAGGCCCAGTCCTTGTCCTGGCCACAGGGTGGGGGACCCCCAGGGCAGAGGTCACCCTCCTGGCCCACCTCCAGACCTGAGGGCAGCCCCTAAATTGCCCTCTCTTGGGGGCAGGGAGGGCAGAGGGGCATTGAGGCCTCCAGTCCCCAGAAGGGCATGGGGGGAATGGGCTTAGGGATGGAGGAGAGGTCTGAAGAGATGGGAGGCCAGGGCAGGTGGCATGCTGGGCCACCCTGGTGAAGACCTCTCCCCTTTTCCTACACAGCCATAGCTCTGGGCCCAAAGCTGATTCTTCCCCCAAAGGCTCTCGTGGCCTGGGGGGACTCAAGTCTGAGTTCCTCAAACAGAGTACGGCACGTGGCTTCAGAACTCAGGACCAGCCTGCAGGGAGCAAGGGTAGGAAGGTGGCTGCTAAGGGGGTGGTATGCATGTGGGTGTGTGCCGTGGTTATCCTCATGTATCTGCCCATGTGTGTATGCCTGTGAGGGTCTGGGGGCTCTGAGGGTCTCAGGGGTGGAAGGGCCTGGAACCTGATTTCCCTCCAGGACATCCCAGCTGGGTGGTCCTCCAGTCTCTGCTTGTGTCCTTTCAGGAGCAGGAGGCAGCCTTTTTCATCTTCACACACTTTTGACCATTAGAAAGTTCTTTCTTTGGTTGTACCAGAATCTATGGCACCCACCTTGTTGTCAGTCCCTGAGCCCATACAGAAGTCCCCTTATTACTCTGAGGCCTCTCTTCCCTGGGGTAAACACCCTCATGACTTTGGCCTTTTCTGTTGGGATAGTATAATTTCCCATCAGCCCTCAGCATCCTGGTTGCCTTTCTGAAGGAGTCCCCTTACATCCAGTGTGTGAATGTGATATGCAAGTGTCTGTGACCAAGTGTGGTTGCTGCCCCTCCCTGGGCCCCTAGCTCACCCTTGCTCTCTCTGCCTCCTCCAACACCAGATGACAGTGTCTCCACCTCCAAAACCCCCTGGGGCATCAACATCATCAAGAAGAACAAGAAGGCAGCCCCCAGGGCCTTTGGGGTCCGGCTGGAGGAGTGCCAGCCAGCCACGGAGAACCAGGTGGGTTCCTGCCGTACTCCGGGGCCAGCAGGGGAGGGGGGCGGCTGAGGCGCAGAGGGTCAGAGCTGCCGGGGCCTTGGAACCAGCTCTCCACCTCAGCTTATGGCACAGCTGGGGAAGCTGCCCAGGGAGGGAGCAGAGAGCTGAGTCAGAGTCCCTGATTCCCAGCTGGTGCTGCTTGCCAGACCATGGCAAGGCTTTGGTGTGATTTCTGGCTTCCAGACTGGGGAAGCAGTGAGAGCCTTTAGTAACTACCCTCCATGGGATTCTGGCCTTTCTCTACCCCCATCTTGTCCTTCCCACCTCTGGCCCACTGGTGGAGAATACTGTTCTATTTTAAATTGTATTTCATTGCAGTATAGTTGTTGTACAATATTATGCAAGTTATAGGTGTACAATGTAGTGATTCACAATTTTTTAAGGTTACACTCCATTTATCATTATTATGGAGTATTGGCTATACTCCCTGTGTTGTGCAATATATCCTTGTAGCTTATTTTATACCCAGTAATTTGTACCTCGAATCCCCTACCGCTGCCTTGCCCCTGCCCTCTTCCCTCTCCCTACTGATAACCACTACTTTGTTCTCTACATCTCTGAGTCTGCTTTTTGTTGTTGTTGTTATATTCACTATTTTATTTTTTAGATTCCACATATAAGTGATATACAGTATTTGCCTTTCTCTGTCTGACTTATTTCACAGAGCATAATGCTTCTCAAGTCCATCCATGTTTCTGCCAATGGCAAAATTTTGTTCTTTTTTATGACTGTGTAGTATTACATTGTATACATGTACCACATCTTTATCCATTCATCTATTGATGGACATTTAGGTGGCTTCCATATCTTGATAGTTTTAAATAATGCTGCTGTGAACATTGGCGTGCATGTGTCTTTTCAAATTAGTGTTTTGTTCTTTTTCTGGATATATATCTAGGAGCGGAATTGCTGGGTCATCAGTCAGTTCAGTTCAGCTCAGTCGCTCAGTCGTGTCTGACTCTTTGCAACCCCATGGACTTCAGTATGCCAGGCCTCCCTGTCCATCACCAACTCCCAGAGTTTATTCAAACTCATGCCCATTGAGTTGGTGATACCATGTGGTGTTGAGCATCTTTTCATGTGCCTGTTGGCCATTTGCGTTTCCTCTTTAGAAAAATGTCTGTTCAATTCTTCTGCCCATTTTTTAATTGGGTCATTTGTATTGGTTTTGACCTTGACCTGTGGCTTGCAGGATCTTAGTTCCTCAACCAGGGATCAAACCTGGGTCCCCAGCAGTATACACAGAGTCCTAACTACTGTACTGCTAGGGAATTCTCATGTTGTTTGTATTTTTGATGTTGAGTTGTATGAGCTGTTTATGTATGTTGGCTCATATCCCTCATTGAGCAGTCGTATCATTTGCAAGTATCCTTTCCTGGAGAATGCTGTTCTTACCCTCCCTAACACCCCTGCCCTGCCTGTGTCTCCAGCGTGTCCCCTTGATTGTGGCCGCATGCTGTCGAATCGTGGAGGCACGGGGGCTGGAGTCCACGGGCATTTACCGAGTCCCAGGCAACAATGCAGTGGTGTCCAGCCTGCAGGAACAGCTCAACCGTGGCCCTGGGGACATCAACCTACAGGATGAGGTGAGTCTGACTTGGGTGTTGGGCGTTGGTCCATGGAAGGGGGCCAGTGTGGTGTGTTCATTGTACCCTGTGATGTGCCCGGCACTGGGCCAGGGCACCAAGATGGGCACGATGGGACTTGCCTTTGCAGACCAGCCGCAGGGATGGGCCTCACCCGGCTGCGGCCCAACAGGTGGATGCAGTCAGGGCCTGGGAGCCCCGAGGCAGAGGCTGGTGGGTGACAGGTTTTTGGGCCTGGAGGATGAGTAGAGTTCATGAAAGCCAGGGAAAGCCAGGAAAGGGCGGTCCAGGCAGGGAAATGGCCTGGGGAAAGTGTGGCTCTGAAGGCTTGCTGGCAGTCACCGTGCCTTCTCTGTAAAGGTCCAGGTGGCAAGTATTCCAGGCTTTGGTTATGTGGTCTGTTGTGCACCCTCCTCCTCCTTGTTCTCTTCCTTCTTCATCTTCACAATGTTTATCTGTTTATTTATTTACTTATTTTTGGCTATGTTGGGTCTTCGTTGCTGTCCAGGCTCTTCTCTAGTTGCAGCAAGTGGGGGCTACTTTCTAGTTGTGGTGTGTGGGCTTCATAGTGCCGTGACTTCTCTTGTTGCATCGCACGGGCTCTAGGACTCGTGGGCTCAGTAGTTGCAGCTCCCAGGCTCTAGAGCATAGGCTCAATAGTTGTGGCACACAGGTTTATTTGCACCACAGCACGTAGGATCATCCCGGATCAGGGGTTGAACCCATGTCTCCTGCATTGGCAGTTGGATTCTTTACCACTGAGCCACCAGGGAAGCCCTTCTTCACATTTTAAAAATGCAAAATCCATTCTTACCTCAAGGGCCACACAAAAACAGGTCATTGGCTGGATTTGACCTACGCGCCATGGTTTGCAGACCCCTGGTTAAAAGAAAGGGAGTGTATGGTGTTTGCTGGAGTGGCCAGCAATGTGGGTGGCTGATCAGATGAGACAAGACTAGCTTGTGAAGGGATCTGACAACCACACTTAAGAGTTTGAAGCAGGTTATAATAACAATGGAATATAACCAATCCCAAAAAAGGCAATGCCAAAGAATGCTCAAACTACAACACAGTTGCACTCATCTCACACGCTAGTAAAGTAATGCTCAAAGTTCTCCAAGCCGGACTTCAGGAATACATGAACCAAGAACTTCCAGATATTCAAGCTGGTTTTAGAAAAGGCAGAGGAACAAGAGATCAAATTGCCAGCATCTGCTGGATCATCAAAAAAGCAACAGAGTTCCAGAAAAACATCTATTTCTGCTTTATTGACTATGCCAAAGCCTTTGACTGTGTGGATCACAA